GCAGCTGTCCCGGCTTCGCTGGGCCGTGCTGCTGCTCTTCAGCAGCTACTCCTTGTGCAACGCCTTCCAGTGGATCCAGTACGGCAGCATCAACAACGTCTTCACGCGCTTCTACGGCGTGAGCGCCTTCGCCATCGACTGGCTTTCCATGAGCTACATGCTCATCTACATCCCCCTGCTCTTCCCCGTCGCCTGGCTGCTGGACAAGAGGGGCCTGCGCCTCATCGCCCTGGCCGGCTCGGCCCTCAATGCCATGGGTGCCTGGGTGAAGCTGGGCAGTCTGAAGCCGCACCTCTTCCCCGTCACTGTCCTGGGACAGGTCATCTGTGGCTTGGCCCAGGTCTTCATCCTGGGCATGCCCTCACGCATCGCCTCGGTCTGGTTTGGCTCCCAGGAGGTCTCCACCGCCTGCTCCATTGCGGTATTTGGGAACCAGGTAATGGGCAGCTGCACCCCGGCTGGCTGCGCTTGTGGGGCGGGCTGTCAGCTGCCTGGCCGGACTCTGGAAGTGCTGAGGGAACAAACCAAGGGGGGGTGAGGGATGCATAGGGCTGGAGGGCAGCCGCGGGGATAACACGAACTTACATGAAGTTCCCTCTGGAAAATGCATCTCGTATTTGGAAGGATGCCACTGGTGTTAGCCTGAGGGCTGATAGTGGGCAGAGGCAAATGGGACCTCCATCTACAAAGTTCAGGGCAGCATGGGGGTTAGGAATGATTCTGGCTTTGAGAGGGCTTTGGCTGAGGCTCTTCTCCAGTGCCCTTCACTTCCTGTGTGTGCCAATCCCCAAGTCCGGGGCTCTGATTCAGTATCCTGGGGGGGGTAGGCACAGTGCTTAGAAACTGCTTTAGGCAGAGTGTCTTTCAAACCTGCAGTTGCATCTGGACTTGACACTGCCATGTCCTCTTTCTGCTGACAACTAGATGGGACAAAGGAGATTAGCTTTCTGCTGAAAGCATTGTCATTGGGCTCTGGAGGAAAAGGACTTTAGCACTTTCATACCTCTTAAAAGTAGGTACAGTGTTTACACAAGCAGTTGCTCTGAGAAAAAGAAAAGTTCCATCAGGCCAGTGTGAGGTCAGCTCCCTGAGCACTCTTTTACCAATACAGGTGTCTGAGGCCAGTGACCCACACTTGCTCGAACCGTGAGTCTCTTTTCTTGTAGCCAGAGGAGATAATTTTTTACACAGCTTTGAAAGGATCAGGGAAGTATCTTCTTGACCCTTGCACCGGAACACCTGCTCATTCAGCTGAATGAAGTAAATAAGCCAATACTGATGCAGTGAGGCATAAGTGAAGTGAGCCTGGCTCGGCAGCCCTGACCCAAAGAAGAGGAAAGTGGAACGTGGCATTGGCTGCTGGGCCTGTGCCCCTTACTTTGAGATGCAGTGTACTCCTCTGCATGTGACACTGTGCTCCACCCTGGACCGTTCAGCCTGTGAGTGACTGCCATTCTGATTTGAATGGTTTTCAGTTCAGGTAGCTTCTAGTGCAGACTGCAACTTCCTGTGCTTCTGTATTTATTTAGGTACTGCTGCGGTAAAAAGAGGTGAATGCTTGGAGAGGGTATTTGAGGAACAGAAGTTTGCAGAACAGCACTAGGGAGTTAAGGGGACTGCTTTACATCTTCAGGAGAGAGAAAACATACTTCTCTTTACTTGAGTGCACCTAAGCTATCCTTTTTGCTCTAATCATCCCTTCTAGTGGGCTGTTTTTTATGTATTTTTAAATGAATCTTTAAAGTGGAAGGATCTAACTTGGCATGAGCAAATAAGTAACTGAGCATTTTGCTGTCAGACTTAAAAAATTATTCAGGTGGAGTTACACAACAGCGTGCATTAGAAATCCAAACAATGAGGCTGTCTGCCTGTGTGGAGTCATGAGCATCCCAAAAGGAGTGGCTTAGTGTAACGGTTGTGAAAAGCAAATTTTAGCTGCCCTTTGGGTGCTCCACACTGCTCTGGTGGTTGCACTGACACGACAATGAGACCTCAGTTCGGTACATAGACTTGGCTTTGTAAGCCCAGACTTTCCTTTTAGAGAATCAGAGAAGTCAGAAATGGTAGTGACTAAAGACAGAGCATACTCCATAGGGAAGACCTATTTATTCCCATAGTCAGGCAAAATCCCAGTGAATGAAAACTAGCTATTTTGTTTATTGGTGAGGTTGGGCAGGGAGAAGAAATAGAGGCATACATTTTTTCCTGACTGTAGTTAAAGACTGTATTAGAGAGTGTTAGCAAAGGGTATAGTACAGTGGTTTTGTAATTGCAGTATGGTAAATTATTCCCTATGCTCGTTTCTCTACAACTGCATGGTCTTCCTTTCCTTGCCATGTCACTTAGTTTAATTATTATTATTATTGAATACCAAGCAGTGTTGTCCCTCTCCATTAAGAATTGCAAGCAACTGCATGAGGAAGTAGGGAAGTGTCACTGCTTCTTTATTTGGCATACCTGCCCTCTTTCTGCTCTTGCTCTCTTGGCCCCAGGCTGCACTTCAGCAGTGCCGTCCTGAGGGAAGCCCTGTCGGGTCTGCCAGGGCCATGTTTGCTCAGGACACCGCCTCTGCTTGCTGACTGATGGTAACCTTCAAGCTCAAAGTTAGCCCTGAAGAGTAAATGATTGAATCAATCAGACCAGGTGTTAAATGCCCTTTAAAAAAAACAAACAATCCCTAGTAAGGTATTAGAATCACCTCACTTGTTTCTGGCCCTATGTTGGCTGTGGTACCTGAAGTGCAAAAACAGATTAGATTGAGCACTCTTGAATCAGTGCTGAGAGCTTCTAGAAGAGTGTGAACACCTGTGGACATGATCATATTCTCTTGTTTACCCCCTGCTGGTTTTCATGACGTTTTACTTTTCCACATTTTAACAGGAAGATACATAGGTGTTTTTCCATTCTTTTTCCTTGTCGTGGAAGCTCATATGTGGGGAGGTATAGAATAAAGTTTGCCTATAAGATGCCTTGGCATTAATATATTAGTGTTATTGGAATACTACTGGCTCCTCATTGCTTGAAAGACTAGGAAAAATCCATATGGGGACTCTTCCTCATGCTGAAGATCTGGGGTAAAGAAGCAGAAGTGTTATGGAGAGTTCACTAATGTTCTTCAGACATACTTTAGTACTGGCAGGGATTTGTCTGACATTCTTATGAAATGCAGCTGTCAGTAGTAGTGTCCTGCTACATCAGCACTGCTCCCTGTGGAGCACCTTGGTGCTGGATATCTGTGTGAAGCCCCACACACAAGGTGGGTAGGAGAGAGCCGTCTGGGTAAGGCCATGCTGTTTCCACTTAGTTGTGTTGATTCATCATCTGTGTCCCTGTTTGGGGCTGTGGTTCACACCTGGCAGGCAGCAGCAAACAGGCTTCTGACTTTCTGTGCTGATGGCAGACTGTCTGTCCCTCTTGCTGGGGACAGGACTGCTGTGGGAAGGAGCCTGAGATAGTGGCATTGGCAGGAGTGTGTGCCTGCTGGAGCAGCAGGACTTGCCCCTCCATTGGGCACAGTTGCTCTTCTGGAATGTGGGGATGAGGAGGCAGATTGTCCTTTGGCATGACAGAACTGACATGCTGGGGGGATGTTTAGGTAGCGAGGTAAGTTTTCGTGGCATTTTGAAATTGATAAGCGGGAGTCTGATGGTCAGGTACAGGCTCTGTCCTTCAGCTGCCATGGTGCATGCTGAGCTGCTGTGCCTGGGTTTTGTGCATATTTCACTCTTACTAGTTTATTTGGTGTGAGATATACATAAAACCCAAGCGCAGCAGTTTGTCACTTGATGGGCAAGGGGCATGGACAGCATTCAGAGAAGTATATAACTGTGTTGCACACAGACAAAGAACATTTGTGCATTTGATTTGTATTGCTTTGCCACCAGTATTGGGTTTTTTCTTGGTATAGAGAGACCTTGTTCCTGTTTCTTGCTGTTTTGACAAAGAAACAAGCCACTGATAATTTACCAGGCCCGCATCCTTACTCCCAAGTAAGGGAGCAAGGATGCGGGCCTGGTAAATTAATTATCTTTTTGCAGTAATTTTGCCTTTTTTTCTATTTTTTTTAAGCATGGCTTGAAAAAAAGTGATGAGATTTGGGAGGAAAGAAAACTTCAGCCTTATATTAAGCTCCGCTTTAGAGAAAAAATCATGCAGCACCTTACTGATCTTAGGATCTGTCCGTGTTCTGATATAGCTGCAATGTGACTTTAGATATTTAGGGCTTTCATAACAGAGAGCCTGAGGCAGAGGTTTTAGGTGGTATCTGCAGCCTCTGGGAGTGCCAGTCTTGAAGTGTTTAGGTGATGGCTTTTGAAATGGACAAACCTGGTGATAAGCTGCGAATTAAATTCATGGAAATGTTCTCTCTGTCACTCCTGTTCATCTGTTTTGAACTGGGGGAAAGAGTCTGCCTGGGATAGTGGCTGAGGTGGGTTTTGCCGTGTAGTTGGGTCTGCAACATCTGAATAGCCATTGCTTATGAGCTGGTGATCCTACAGTGCTGTTTGTGCTGCTCATGTGCCATTGTTTGATGCCTCACTGATAACTTTGTTCTGTACCTTTTGCCCTTCAGGGAAGGCAGCATCTTGAAGTCTAAGAAGCATTTTGGAAAGGTATCATGTCCTGTGGAGTCCCTGTCTTCCAGTCTTAGAGTGGATTTCTAGATCTTCTTTGGCTGCTCTGTCTCTGCTGGAGGATTCCCATCCCTTCAAATGATTCCTTGTTAGAAATATGGACAGGATCTACCTCACAGCTCTCTAGCTTGGCCCTGTATCTCTCAGTTTTAGCTATCAGAATAGAGAGGATTTTAGTGGCAGTAGCTAATGTTGGCATAGTTGCTTGTAGCCATAGTAGTTAATGGTTGACATTCTCCAGCCCTGTCTCCTTTCCCTCCCTGACAAAAAAAGAGCAGGGTGGATCAGAGCACTTGGATCTCAAGGAGTGCTCCATGGCTAACTCTCCAAGATCCTGGATGTGGCTCAGTGTGGGAGGGTGTGCTGACCAAATAACAGTGTGGCTTTTGCAGGAATGCCTCAGTTTCTATAAATGGACATGGGAGCCCGAAATGAACTTTTTCTACCCATTTCATCTGGTGCTCCCTTCCCAGACATACACCAAAGGCAGCTGTCCTTTCTCTCTCTCAAAAGAACTTGGCTTTTGGGTTAAGTTCTGCGTGGGAGTTTAAATGAATGTCTGCAGTGTTTCTGGGAGGCCCAGCAAGCACCCTCAGCACTTGCCCTGCAGGATATCCAGGATTGCTGTGTTAGGTGACTGGAGTAGGTCCCTGACCAAAGCATATTCTCACTGAGGATTCCAGTAGCAGCTGAGGTAACTGAAACCCTGCTGTTTTGTTCTCCCTCCTGTCCACTGCTGTTGTTTTGCTGTGTTGCATATCTTTCCCAACAGACTGGGGGAAGGTGCATTCAAGACTGCCAG